AGTCAGAATAGTCTGCAGAACAGTCCCTGCTCAGGGCTGTAATTTTATGTACCAAAGTGTGTTGGCCCGGAGAACTTTCGTGGATATTCTTTTGAATGCTTTCATTTGTACTTCCAAAACCTCTTTCCCTGGCTGCAACTGGCCTTTCCTGTCACTGAGAGCATTTTCTTTCTCATAGGCTTCTGCAAACTGCCAGGTAATCAAGCCTGTCTGAGTCAGCCTGAAGCGTGGGTAGACAGAGCGTGGATGGTGGCCAAAGCCTCCTGCCTGGCTCGGCTGGCCTGTTCTCTCAAATGCTAGTTCAGTGAGTGAATAAATGAATGAGGGAGAACATGGCAAACGTCACTAAGAAGAAACAGATCTTCCTGGAGTTCTCAAATTCCAGTATACAAGTTTCCTTTATGCAAATGATACGAAGTCTATAAGTCTTCAAGGGTCGCCTCCTTTATAACATCATTTACATAATAAACATTGACAGAAAATGCTAGGGCAACTGTCCAGCATCATATTGTCCAATTTCTTTGGGAAAATGTATTGAGCCCAAATTCTTGTTTTGACTGTTTCTTTTTAAAAAAACGGGTTCTTGGTGTTGGTTTTTAAGTTTTTGTGGTAAATAGTAGTTTGCTTGCATCTTCTTGTAAAGGAACTAAACATATACTAGGGAAAAGAGAGTGTGTGATCGTATGAAGTGTAATATTAGGGATGCTTCTTTGGTATTATTATAAAGTAAACAACGGATTCTGGCGTGCCAGGGCCAGGCTTCCCTGCTGGCTGCCGTGTCCTTCCTATCTCCTCTAAGGAAGCGACACCCATTATCTCCGTCCCTGCCACTCAAGTTGCTTTTCTTTGACATCAAAGATTCCTCTGTAATTTCCTTTCTGGGCTGTGTTGTTAACAGTGGAGAATGTGCACTCAGCCACAGTGGTTCCTAAAATCATCAAATATTATAAATTCCCTCTCGGACATAGGCAGTGATTTTTTTACAAGTACTGCTGCGCTTCCTGTGCCTTTATAAAAGAAAGGGAAATTTTAAAAAGCATTACAAACTTCAAAGTAATTAGGTCACCCAATCATAATCTAAATGTTTACATTTGTGTGATTATAGCAGCAACATGGAAAACTCCAGGTGATGTTTTGAAGTGAAATTGAATGAAAGGTAGGTCATGGTAAAAATAAATATTTTAAATCACCGTTGTGTTACCAGATTCATCACCCTACAGTCTCTGTTAGAGCAGCAGCGAGGGAGGCACCAATGTGCAGTCATTCGGAGTGTCTCCAGCTACCCCCGGGGGCACCCCGTTGGGTGGCTGGTGATGTATGCTGGGCTTTATGAGAACACGCCATCTGGGGCTGCATGGCCGATACTCCACCGGGTCAGCCTGGCTGAGCCATAGCGCAGTGACTCAGTCACCTGTAGGGGCCGCACTGCCCAGACGTTCCTTTACAGACAAAACACAATGGTTCCTTAATTGGGAAGGTAGGAGTAAACACAGTAATTAAAACAAATTCAGTTGAACTACAGGTAACCAAGTACATGGAGTGATTTAATAAACAATCAACTTCTAAGGAGATAGTGTGCGTGGGGGGCGCTCCCTGGCACCACTGGAAGGGCCTCTGGCCAAGGCTGGAGCTGAGACCGGGGATTCCTCCTCTTGTTCCAAATGCATCGTCACCACCAGCTGCCCACAGAGAAGGGGCCGCTCCAAACGGCTTTGTATATGTCACCTCATTTGCTTCCTAATCCAGGACAGGCCTTTGTGTCCTCTGCTTGGATGCCCTCTCTGCTCCCTGGGATTCCTTGGAGAGTGATTATACATCAACCTGTGAGATCATCTGATGAACGTTTCTGCTGTCCAGTAGATAGGGAGTTCCATGCAAGCAGGAATTAGTCTGCATTAAAATTAGCATCTGATTGTGAACAGGGGCCACACATGCCCAGGTATTCTGCAGTTCTTTCATTGGAAAATTAGAAATAAAGACAGCAATTGAAAGTAACTAAATAGCAGTATGGATGAGTATGTATATAGATTTACTGAGTAAGTAACTCAGCCATGGCTGAGGGCACATGCATGTTGTATCAGTAACGTTCTTGCTTGGAATTGGGGACCAAGCACAGTGCTTGGTATCCCGTAAGAGGTGCTCAACAAATGTCTGTGAATGAGTGAATGTGCTCCCAATAGTACAGGAAGTGACGAGGTATTATTCTGATCATGCATAAGAGTAATCCGAGGTCTAAAGAAGACAGGTTCTGAGCTCAGTGGTGGAGCTGGCAGCAAAGCCAAGGCTGTAGAATTCCATGTGCTTGGCCTCCACAGTAACTGTGTTCAGCCTCCCCCTCTGTTATGATCCAGGTCATCTTCCTTTCGGGTCCCAGGACACCATCGTTGAAGGCAGGAACCCGACATCTCAAGGTCGCATTGAAGCAGCACTTCTGGAGTGTGGCAGTGTTCCACGGATGGTGTTTGAGAGGGTTTTCGATGGCAGGCAGATGAACAGTTTCTGTTTTGTAGTTATATGTTATTTTCATGTGCATTAGAGAAAGTATTACTGGAAAATATGGTAAACCATATAACTAGAACATTAAACCAATTTTGTTCATGGATATTATTGCCTAGGATGGGAGTAAATCATTTAAATTTTCAAAGGAGTCAACTTAAAGAAAAATATCAAGTGATGGATGAGGGATGTGTATGTGGACAAAGTGTTGGAAACACTGCCCAATAGTATTCAAGCATCACCCCCACTGGAGAATATTGTCTTCGATCTGTACCTCCGTCATCTCAAAATTTCACCTGATGTAGTTGAGGCCACGCAGAAAGCTGTCTCACTGCGAAGGAGGGTTGCCTTCTCTATCTGTCTGCCAACGGGAAGGCTTCCTTTCTGTCCCAGGTGGAAACCCTAGACTTCCCAGGGGAAGTTCCAGAGGTTCCATTTGCCAAGAAAAGCAACTCTCTGCCATCTTTCTTATTTTCTCTGCAGAAGTTCCTGCTGCCCTGCAATGGGGGGATCGGAGGGAGTTTGCCCCCTGGAGTGGCCAGGACAGCTGAGAGCCAGGCTGGCAAGGGCTCTTCACATTATTACTGAAAACAAATGAGTGTTTTCAGGCAGGGACCTTGTCTTAGGAATATTGTGTGAAATGTGATGGACTGAAATCTAGTTAGAGTCAGAATGGCTAAGGAAACAACCAAAATGGAGTTGGGAAGCCAGTGAGGACACGGGGTCTGCACAGTCAGTGTCTCATTTCTCAGAAGGATGCCGGGGAGAGCGTGCTGCCACCCACGTTCCTGGAGCCACCATCTGTTCTGGACTTCTGCGGACCTTACCTGGCTTTGGCCAAGGCAGCCTATCAGAAACTGAATAGTGTACGAGATTCTCTGCTGGCTGCAATCAGGAAATATTCAAAATGACTTATGCAAATGAATCAACTTCCTGCTGTTTGGCTGTAGAAACCCCAAACCTTGTCAGCAATTAGGGGAGCATGATTTGAGAGCCACCCAGATCTGTTTTCTGGATCACGATCCCTAAGACCCCAGGTAAAGGCAACCAGTGTTCCTGCAAGCTTTGCCTTTTCTTTGCTTAACAATTGAAACCCATTCCTCCCAAGATGCATGTAAGTCGTGTATCTTAGTGCTCAAAAAACGCCAATTGAATAAGGCATGAGTAATAAGTTCTTCTGTTTTACCCCAAAGTAGCAAAACACCAAAAAATCTCATGTGTTCTTTAATGACTTGGAAACAGGGCTAACCTCCATGCTAAGAGGCTTCTTCGAACTTTCACACTGGAATGTGAAATCTGAGAAATCAAGAGACGTGAAATTATTTTTATATATTAAACAGGTGCTCAAGAAATATTTATTGATATTTTTGCTGGGTCAACTACTACCCCTTCAAAACTCATGTCTACTTGTGAATGTGACCTTATTTGGAAATAGGGTCACTGCTGATGTAATCAAACTAAGATGAGGTTATTAGGATGGATCCCAAATCCAGTGTGACTGATGTTACCACGAGAAGAGGGAAATTTGGACACAGAGATGTAGACACAGGGAGAGCTCTGGATGAGAACAGAGACAGAGATTGGGGTTGTGCGTCCACAAGCCGAGGAACACCAAGGATTGCCAGATTACTGGGTTAGATAGCTTAAAAAATGAGCGTTGTAGAAATTTCACAGCAGTCTGCAAGTTCCCCATGAGTATTTCACATTTTGCTTTCTATTTTAATGGTACTGAAAAAAGTCAGCACGGACTTACTTGGGTTATCTGGAAAACCACTTTCCATGTCATTTCAAGGCCTGCATTTACATTTATCGCCTCTTCGGTGTCCAGTGGCCCCATAAAATAAGCCTGATGTCCTGGGGCGGCATCTTTCCCTGTTTGCCACCGTTTCAGGTTGGGCTATTTAATCAGTTATAAAGACACAACTTCTCAGCCACGACTGTTTTCACAGACGAAGACTTCACTTTCCTGTTGTTTAGCAAGTGAAGATTTTGACTCAATATAATTTAAAATTTAAGATTTTAAGATAAATTTAAGAATTTCAAAGTGGTGTTCTTTTCAGTTGTGCTGGACTGATAGGAGTGGAGGCATACTCAGAATGAGGATGATCCTGTTGCAGAAACCAGATTTGAAGTCATGTTTTGCTCAGGCAGCAGAGGTTTGCAGAGGTTTGACAGCAAAGCATGGTGGGTGAGGTCAGACCTCCCACAGCACCTGGGGGTGGAGACAATGGCGTCTGAGCCAAGGTTGTCCCTTTCCACCCACAGAGATGTGTCTGCCAGGTCCCACCTTCACACACTTCACACAGAGCCAGCCCGTTGGAACAGTCAGCGAGAAATGGAGGGATGGGCCACGAGTGAGTTTTCATTAAGCAGCAAAATTCATCTGAGCAATTTTAAAGATCTTATTGGTTTTATTTAATGGGTTATGAATCGGGCAGCATCCTGTCTAGCAGACAGAATGGAGCTCCGAAGAGCTGCGCCATGGAAAGACTTTATAGGCAGAGGGGGGTGGGACAAGGAAGTTTCTAGCAAGGGCACCTTACTTTGGTAGATGGCCAGAGTCCACCAGGCAGACTATCTCACTAGTGCTGACCAGGTAATTCCAGACTGACTCCTGGTCCACTCCTGGGAGAGGCTGAAATGACAATTCCGTTAGGCATTAAATCTCGGTTTGGTGATGTGGGCCTGGCCAGTGACTCCATCTGGGACCTGTTATGTCTCTCTCTCTCTTTTTAACAATGGCATGTTTTATATTTTTATTATTGCATTTTGGAATACACTTTTAAAATGATTGTCCTGTCAACCTGATTGATTGGCAGTTAAAAATAACTAGGAGAATACATACAAAAAATAAAAAGGGTAAATCACATCAGTGATACTGTTGGTGATTTAGAGGCCCATCAAGCTAAGCAATGAAACATTTCAGTCAATGACATGTAAACATAAAGCCACCAATATATTTTTCTACTATTAAACCCAGAACTGGCAATTTCGTTTTAGTAAGATAACAATCAGTCATATCTAATGATATCATTGATTTGAATTTTATTTTTAAGGCCTTTCCTTTGTCCTCTGTAAATGCCAGTTGCTGGTGAAGAAGGAGTTATGATCATCTTTATGTCTGTGCAAATTTAGGGAGCATTATAATGAAAGAATTTGTCAACCATGGGAATCCATGAGAGTTATTTTCCTTTTAAAGGAAATTACTCAAGTTTGAGTAGTATAGTCCTCATGGCATTATAGTCTTTTCTGCATTTTATTTTCAAATTTATAAAAATAGCATTTGCAGTGTTTTCCTGTGACTATAATGGAAACATAGGTCCACTGCAAAATGTAATTGTTACATACAGAGAAGCTAAAGAAAATGAGAGTCACTTATAGCTCTACTTCCCATACCATTTTAATATGCTTATTCATTTGGGGATTTTTTAATAAATATTTGCTTTAATAAAGCAAAACTGATATGGAGCCATAAAATTCTTTTTAAAATTTGCTTTTATCACTTGGTAGATGCTCATGACTGTCTCAGGATGTTAAAATGAGATTTTCCTAACTCAGAGTCTCAGCTGAGAACAACACAAACAGTGCCAAGAATCGATTTCCCTGAGCGAGTAGAGGAGACCCCTGGAGTGGGTCATGGGAAGTGATGGTGAGGAGCTTTTCCCAGCATTACCCCTTGTCCCAGATCTGTGAGAACGGGGACCAGGTAGCGGGGCTGGAGGAGAGACAGCTGGGACTGCTCTGGGGGGGATTGCTGACGTTCTGAGCCTCCCCCACTCCTGTGAAGGACAGGAGGGGATGCCTCTGGCACACCTGAGCCAGGTGGGACCCACTGGGAAGCTTGACTCCTGCCTTCTGAAATTTGGGGAGCATGAGGTCTGACTTAAGGCCTGAGGCTGTTTTAAGTGGGTCCTCTGGACTGGATTGGATTCCCCCCAAATTCATATGTTGTAGCCCTAATTCTCCCACATGACTGAACTGGAGGCAGGGCTTATGAGGAAGTGGTTAAGGTAAAATGAAGTGGGACTGGGGCCCCAGAGAACTGTCGTCCTCAAGAGGAGAAGAGGAGACTCCAGAGCTCCCCCCACCAGGTGAGGACCCCGCGACAAGGCAGCGCTGGCAGGCCAGGGAGGCACTCTCACCGGAACCCGACCCTGTTGGCCCTGTTCTTGGACTTCTGGCTTCCAGAGCGGTGAGAAATTATGGCTGTTGTGAAAGCCACTCAGTCTGTGATATTGTGCTGTGGGCTGAGCGGACGGGGACAGTGGGCTTCAGAAGGCGAACAGCAGTGTGCTTGGGACCTCGTCAGGGCACAGAGAGCATTTGGCCCGTCTTTAAAAGGGCACTCTTTCTACCTATGTGTAGACAGATCTCTCTCTCTCTCTCACACACACACACACACACACACACACACACACTAGGGACCGAGGGAGGGACAAGGGTGGACTTTCTTTGAAAGAAGTTCAAGTTTTCCCCTCTTTGCTTGGAAATCACCACCATCGTCTTTTGATCTAGGAAAACACCTGCCACGTACTATTAGGTGTGTCTGATTCGTAGGATTGACTTTAGAGGTAAGAAACCTCAAAATGGGCCAGTCTTCATCACAAAAATACACTATTGAAAAAGCACCTGAGAAAGCTCTCTTTCGGCACTGGTCTCTTGTCTCAAGAAGAAATTCTCTGGGGCATTGGCCACATGGTGGTTTCCCATCAATGAACACAAGCACTTAAATAATTTCATTTAAGTTTTAAAAGTCTTACCTTACCACTTGTAGAGGCATGCAAATAAAATTCAATTTGTCGATGCTTCTAAATGTCCCACTTTTTCTCATGAACAGCTGCATATTCCAAAGACTGCACTTTTTTTCTTCTTCTCTTTCATAAAAATAGAGGGAGGGAAGCATATAAGTACAAACATACAAAAAGCATGTGGTAGTTTCCTCAATGCCATGTATGCTTTGGATGAGTTACTAAGGAGAGTGGCCTTGGGAGCAGGCATGCACAGCTGTGCACCTGTTGAGCACTGCGGCCTGGGGAGCCTGGGGTGACAGTCAGTCACCTGCTGTGAACGCTCTGCTGCCAGCCTGCTGAGTCAGCAGGGCCTGGTCCTCGTGGGGGGGAGTCTCTTCTTTGCGTTTGAAAGCTCCTGGCATGGCAGTTGGTGAGTGGTCCTTCTGTGGCCCCTGAAATGGTTTTTAAAGATGTAATTAACCATAGGGGTGTACAGAGCATCCAGGCACTCCCAAGGCCACGGGCTTTCTGAGAAGGACATTCTAATTTACTGACTTTTGGTGTTGTTTTGTTTTTTCAATGAATGAGGAATCAAGGGAGTTACCAGAACTTAGAATTGAGTCAAAGGCAGATTTTAGAGAGTCTGACGGCTGGCAGGGGGGGTCCATGGGTCTCTGGCCCAGGGGAAGGAGCTCCATGCCTGCAGGGAACCCCCTTTGATGGTACTGATGGAGAAAGCGAGGGTCACATCAGCTTTGCTTCCCGAGAGGCTGCAGCGCCTGCTCGGTGTGGCTGGAAGGGCCAGTCCAGTACGTAATCAGGGCAGGGATGGTCTGGCTTCGGTGTGGCCCTGTGGGAGCCTAGGTCCTGACGTCATTGCTTTTCCCAGCTGAGAGACTGCGTAGATTACTTACACGCTCCTGCCCTCACTTTGCTCATCTGTAGCATGGGAATAACTGTTCCTCCCTCCTAAGGGTGCCACGAGAGGCTAGGGCAGGGCAGTGCCTGGCACGAGGCAAGCCTCCAGGGTGACGAGCAGTTGCTCAGACTCACTGCCGTGTCTCCTGCGTGTGGCAAGCCGTAAGGACAGCCCCAGCACAGGAATGCCATGGTGGTGGTTTAACGGCTCCAGGCTGGGGAAGACGCAGCTTTTGGTAGGTGCCGGGAAGTCATTTATCAAATTGAATTTGGAAGAGACAATATGTGCAGTAAGAAGGATCCTAAAGATCTTATATGGAAAAAAAAAGGCTGAGGAATACAAACCGTGCTTCACTTTTTCCTGCACTGGATTCATACTTAGAATTTTATTGTGGATTCCTTTTTCTGCTAAGATAAATGTCATTGCCGGGTGCTACATTTCCATCTTTACCAATGGCTAGTGACAGAGGGTCTTAGCCTTTAGTGTAAACAAGTACCTTAATCTTGTGAGAAAAAAGAGGCACATGGATGATGGATAAAACTGAACGGTGAGCACAGGGCATTCGAAGGAGGCGCTGGGTGAAAGCGTGAAGAGGCTCTGACGGAGGGCAGCACACGGACACGGTCCACGTGTCCACGCGTCTTTAAAGGCGGGGCCTCAGACTCTCATTACTCAAGAGATTACTAAGAAATCATTGGGAAATAGTTTAGCAAACCAGTGCAATTAGAGGGAAAACAAATTGACCATATTCTAAACACATCGAAACTGTAAAAGAGCAATTGCTTGTGGTTTGGACTGAACCCGAGTTCATAGGCTTAAATGATCTTGACAAACTTGTAAAAATCATCAATCAACTTCAAATAATTATTAAATGCCTAATTGCACAAGCACCGGGATCCTAATGTAAATAGATCTAATTAGGCTCTCCCTAGGGCAGAGGGGATGGGGCAGCAGAGCTGGGCGGGGCTCCAGGAAGCGGGGCTGCGAGCTTCCCGACGGGCTGGGAAGCTGCTTCATGGATCCCCCTGGGGTCTGCCTACCTTCACTTGTTCTAAACTATTTTGTAATTCCAGGCTTTCCTCTCTTTATTCATATTTTATAATTTAAAAGAATCAAAAGGAAAAACAGGGCTGGAGATTCTGAGAAGTTTTCTTTCTCTCTGGGTGATAAATACTTTTATTCTCCTCTACTAACGGTGTAACCAAATGGCCATTTCTTTTGACTCTCTTAGGAAATCATCTTTAGCTAGTAGAACTTAATTCTGTTTCAGACCCAATATTAAATTCCTCTTGTGATAATCATAATGTTGCCGTTATTTATTTCTAATTAACTAAAAATATCCTACAAAATAGAGTTAGTTTGAGATATTGAAACATTTTCTTCAAGGAAACTTTCCTCTTCAACCTGCTTGAATAAAGCAAGTCTTTGCTAAAGTGGGTCCAGGGGCTGTCAAAGCTCCTATTTACAGCAGCAGGACATTCTACTGTAACAACCTGAGGATATTTTCACTCATTCGTCTATTGCACAAGTGTTTACCACATACCACTCCATTCAGCATTGTGCTAGGTACCGTGAAGAAAATACGTAGTGCGGAGTGAAGAACGCAGTACTTACCCTGAGAGATTCTCTTTTTCTGTGGCAAGCAGGGGACGCTGCCTTGAGGACTTAAACTGGATCGGGCTTGCGAAAACAAACAAGGCCCCTTTCTGGAGGCCACGGTAGGGACGGGTGGGACTTTGTGTAGAGGAAACAGCACCACCCAGCACACACAGCAGCCTGACTTACGTCAGGGGTGCCCCATGGGTGGGGTGTCAGGTGAAAGGGTGGGATATCGGGAAAGGGGTGGGCCTGGAGGGGTGGGCAGGGCCAAGTACGTCCCCCTGAGGAGCTGTAACTGGAATCTGGAGGCAGTGAGGAGTCGGTGAAGGATTTCAAGCAGTTGAGGAGGCTAGCAATCTGCAGTTTCAGATGAATTGATGTTGATAGGGGGAGGGGTATTGGAAGAAATGGGTTCAGATGCATGAACACCAACCAGGAAGTGCCACAGTAGTTCAGGCAGGAGGGCGGCAGTGCTGAATTAAGGGGGTGGCGTGAGGGGATGGAAAAGGTGCTCAGGTGTGCAGGTCCTCAGCTGCTGCTCCCTGTGGGTGCCTCGGTTTCCAGATGCAGGAACTCTGGAGGTGCTGATGCAATGGAGATGGGGTGGGAAATAATTCAGTTTGTCAGTGAGATCTGGAAACCTGTGGGACAGGCCGTGGGCAGCTGGGCGTCAGCAGCGTTCTGGAACGGACGACTCAGGATGTAGGCCCGGGACCTCTGGGTCCACGTCACCTGATTCTACCGCCTGTACGGTTTTCCTCTGTCCCACCTCATGTTCATGACACCAGAAAACTTACGTCTTTGCTTTAATTACTCAGAAAACAACAATATTGGTAAAATTCAAAAAACTCATTAGTTTTTAAAAGTTTTAGAACTAATCACTGTATGCTTGGCCTTTTAATCACTCATAGAATGAATGCTTTTTTGACTCAGGGAGCAGTTTATTTCTATAAAATTAAGAAAATTATTTACATTTCTGTCAAATTTAGACTAGAGCAGAGGATTTCAAACTTTTTCCTTAACAGCAGGTAGAACTTTGATACAATACAAATAAATGAATAACAAAATAAGTTTGACAGACAAACGGAAGCTGACTGCTCTGACTGAAGGAGGTGGTGGGTCCATATTTCCATCTGCCCAGGCTTTTGATCCTCTCTGCTTGCGCCTGGTGAAGAAGCCAGTGGACCAGATGGCAATCCTTCAGGTGGGTTTTCCCACCCGGGTTGTACCAGGCTGGAACCAAGCCTCCACATGGCAGAGTGGAAGCAATGCACCAATAGCAGAATGGAGTGTCTGCAGCCACACCTGCACACGCACATGCACACACACACACACACACACACACACACGCACACACACACGCACGCACGCACACACACGCACGTCTTGATAGTCACAGGTCTTGAATATCAAGGGTAACTGAGTTTAGCAGTGACCCTAAGTGAGCTGATATAAAATGTCCATGGCTGTCTGCTTCTTTCAGAGGTGCGCAGTCTTGTCCCACTCACGTGGATGCTGCCTATCTGAGTTTTAGGGCCCTAGGTGGGCCCTAGCTTCACGCCCATGTGTCAGCCCTCCTGCTGCACAGCTGTGTTTGGACTCCCTCCATCTGTAATTGCTGCGCGTTCTGGAATCCAGGCCCCAGCGTGGAGTACTGACTGCCCATCAATCAGAAGGCAGCTTTATTCAGAGGCCAACTCAGGGAGGCAGGGACAGATAAGGAAGTGCCTGCGAGTGATTGCCACGCATGCAGAAACCAGTCTTCCACAGAAATACATGTGCTTATTGAGTTAAAAGCAAGCAGTTAAGTGTCCAGCACAGCCCCATGTATCTTAGCATTAGGGATGTGCTGCAAGCTGAAGGCAGGCTGCAGTCTCCCTGTTGTGTTGTTGCTACACCACCAGAAGGTAATCAAAAAGTGAAGACAAGGGACTTGACCAATGAAATTCCCAGGTATTTGTTTGCTGTGAGCACGAAGTCTCCCCATTCAGCTTCTCCCTCATGTGTCTCCATGAACTTCTGACAATAAACATCTCACTTTGAATATACTGAGTTTCCCCTGAAGCTTCCAAACTATGGGGCAGTTGTCCTAAATCCTCCTACGTACGAAGATCCCTGTGAGGTTTGCAGTTTGGCACCTTCCACGTGACCCTGGGTGTAGGTCAGTACAGACTAAAAAATATGACACGAAAATACTTCCCTGCAGCCACAGCTGATTCATCCCAAAGCGCATGGGGACATACTTAAAAGACAGGCAAGCTTTGGTCCATGACATTTCTGTGCAAGTAGCACGGGGTGGCCAGACTGACTGCTGGGCTTCTTAAAGTAGAAAAGAGCTCGGATATCCCCCAGGGGTTTGCCACCCACAAATTGGGAAGCATTGCTCCAGGAAACAAATCCTAGAATGTTTGGTTTCAGATGTAATTTTCCAGAAAGACGCAGAACTTCGTCTCCTGATGTGACCACACCCCTTTAGCCGTCACAATAACAATACGCTCAAAGAAGCGAACACTGGCCCAAGTGTCCTCTGGGAGGCCTATGCGGTACAGTTAAACTGTGTGACCATTAAAAATGGCGATTACACAGTAGGCAAGCCAAATAAGACATTTGGCAAAGCTGATGCCTTTTAAGCCTATAGCAGTTTATTAAGAATAAAAAGTGCAAGAAGAACAAAAATATTCCCTCCTGTTCTGGGCCTTGATAAGAGCCATAGCCAGGCTGTTGACTCACGGTCACATGGAGGCATTTCACACAGAGGGTAACCAAGTGGGCTCTGGGGGCCTGATTCTATTTGCTTTAGACACAGTTTAAAAAAGGAGGGCCAGTCAGACATGTGTCCACGGGCTTTGCCAGGAACCTGCACGAATGGAAAAGCAGGTCGACGCAGGCCCCCGGCAGCTGACCAAGAGGGAATCCGCGTGCTCCGATGTGAGGGTGGCCAGGGAGTATTTCGTTGTTCATTCAGCAAATATTTGGGGGCACAGCCGTGGGCAGGTCCAAGTCCCTACCTTGGGGGCGCCTCTGTTCTGGTGAGGTGTGGGGAGAGGGGGCCCAAGAACGAGCAAATGAACGAGCAGATGTGTACAATGCCCCTGGGGCTCCAGGCAGCGGGGAAATGAAGCTGAGGAAGGAGATGGCTACTTAGCACAGGCGTCCAAGCTGGCCCCCCCGTGAGGGTGGTGCTGGAGCCGAGACCTGCAGGAATAAGCCCCTCCCTCGGCTCTGTGGCAGAGGGTGTCCCAGAAATAGGATGCATGCAGGAAGGTCCTGAGGTTGGAGCAGGGAAGCCGGCAGGATGGAGCACAGGGCGAGGGGTGGGGAGAGAAGGAGAGGGGACTTAGAAGACGGGGCCAGAGGGGCCGAGAGGCCAGGCCAGGTGGGGCCTTGGAAGCACAGTGAGGGGTGTTCTGAGTGAGGCGGGGAGCCCAGGGAAGCTTCAGAGCCGAGGGGCATGTTCCGGGGGCCGTTTCCCCGCACCGCCTGGCTCCGGGAGGTGCCTGTGCCCTCGTACGGGGTCCTGGCACTGTCTGACTTCCACTCTGTCCTGGATGGAGATCAGACTGTCCCCAGGTGGGATTACAGACGCACCTCAGTGCTGCCTTCTTCTCCTTTCCCTGCTCTGAGTCTACTCGGTGGCTGTGGGCTGGAGCTGCTTTTCGGGGGGCCAGGCTACAGAGCAAGAGCAACACCCCCCTGTGCTGGCCCTGCCCTTGGCACTGAGCCCAGGGCCCTACACCCCAAATGTGCACCCTGAGTGAGCCCTCCTCTCCCCAGGGCTGAAGGCCATTCCTCTCCAGAGCTGAGGTGTCGCCTTTTTCTGGGACACTTGGAGATACCAGAGGAAGCCCTTGGAGAAACTGACTCTTGAATGCCCACATCTGCTCCTTGAGGGTCGCTGCTTTTGGACCACCTGTGAGATAGTCTTAGCTGAGAAGGACTGGCTTCAATTCTGCATGTTAACCAGCTGTGCACCAGGCCCACCACCCACCCTCTCCAGGGCCCTGCAGACCCTCAGCTCTTGTCCTGCCAGCCCCTCCCCGTCCACCCCAGGCTGGCCCCTGGAGGTATTACCTTAAACCAGCCAGCTTATGCCTGTGGCTTGGGTCCAATAGAACTGAACTGCTTTTTGCCAAAGGCCACCGTAAAACTTACCACGAGAAGCAAAGACAATTGGTTTCCAGAGAAGGAAGAGTTTTAGAGATGTTTTGGGGCACTGGGTGCCTCACGTTCCAGAAGTAATTTCATGAAAGGGCTCGTTAGGCCACTCAAGGCCGCGTCATCTTAGCAGGCTTTTGTAAAGTACCCAGCTCTGAGTTCGGAAGCAGTAAATGCCGCTTAGTCGTGCTGCAGAGTCATGAAGCCAACCAGAGCCAGTGCCTGAGCCGTGCGGGCACCGACCTCCCCGTCGGTGTGTCTGAGCCGCTCTTGCTGCCTTGCTGCCAGCCTTTGGCTCCGGCAGGGGAAGCCCAGCAGGGCACTGGCCCTCTCCTGCCGAGGAGACTGACAGTTTCTTGGGGTTAGGCCCATGAAGTGGAAACAGGGCTCTGACCAGAGGGTCAGCAGAGCGGCGTGACGGCATGGAGGAGGGTGACTGATGTCCCTGAAGGGAGGGGTCTGTCATGCAGAGGGCCCAGTGCTGGAGTTAGGAGGCGGGGTGCGGGGGGTGGGACGGAGGGAAACAGGGGGAGGCGGGCAAAGTGGGGAGGGCGTCCTCTGGGGAAAGACAGGATTGGGAGAGGGGGTGTGAGACTGTGTTACTACCACTGCCTGAAAGGGGGTGAGGATGGGTGTGGACGGCGGCCACAGAGTCAGTACTTACCTGACTCGCTCTTGAGTCTGTTCAAAAGGGTCAGACATTCTGGTCTTATTAGTCTGAGGTCCAGGGAGTACTTCGGGGCACCAGAAACCCCAGAAATTATCCCGGGGGTTTCTGCACATGTGGGTGTTTTCTGAGGGAGCGTGCATGCCGTCACTTGGTTTGTGAGGAGTTGTTCCCGGAGGAGGTCTAGACCGCTGCGTCTGCTCCGGGCCTATCCCGTTTTCTGGCTTTGGCCCATTCCCGGTTGCTGCTTCCCTCTGTCCCTGAATCATGCTTAGTTCTCCTGTATCTCTGGGCTGCAGG